CACACACACACACGGTCCTGGCTATGTAGAGGTGATGGATGTCCCATATAAGGATCTCCAGGCCCTCAGGTCCTTCCACAAAAACGTGGCTGCATGCCTCGCACTCTAGCTTTTTGCTTTTCTGTTTTCCAAGAAAATTCAATCCGATCACTTGCTCTTTGCATATCTGCACATTTATAAAGGCCTTGCATATTTCTACCATCAATTTCTATTTGATTTGAACATCAAGACCAGAAAAAAACACAAGCATGGTCACATGTGCTTGACTTCAGCGAAAAGGATAACTTGAAAACTTTGTGATGGCTCCTCAGAGAAGCAGAAAAGATCGGAGCTTCTTTACAAAGGTAACTATAATGCAACGCGCCGGGCAGAAAACGACCGACCCAGGCGGAAGTAGCTCACCATCCTTGTTCTTGTCGGGGTCAAACTTCTCCCCGCAGCCTTTGTTGTAGCACAGCAGAGCCATGTTGGGCCTGTTGGTGTCTCTTGACGTCTTCTTCTCTGTCTTTACAAACTGCTTGTCTCCGCTTTGAAATCCTTCCCCAGACGGTGGAGGGTCTGCCGGTCTTAATGTCGCGCCCCGGTCTCCAGAAGCTTCTCCGCTGAGGCAGAAAGGAGAGATCCAGAAGGTCCGACGGCTTTCAGCAGAGACGGAGAGAGAGAGAGAGAGAGAGAGAGACGGCTTCTCGGCCCTGTTGAATGGGAGATAAAAATAGCAGCTCCCTCCTCTCCTCCACTCGCCCCCCTCTCAATTTACAGCTGTCACAACTTATCTGAAGGCGGGGGTCGACATCGGCTGCCGCAGACGGGCCTGGTGCGACGGAGCCAGCCGCTGCCGCGGCGAGGCTGACAGCTTCTGGATCTCTGTCACTTTCTGCTCCTGGATCAGTGAAACGACGAGCCTTCTGAGGTTTTAACCTGTTAAAGTAACTCAGAGACGTGTTCGTTCCAGCTGTCACCGAGTCCAAAGGAAGGATGCTGAAGAGAGGCCGCATTGAGGCTGATCCAGCACTCTTCCTAGTTTGGCTCTGTAGAGATTTAAATGTTCTCCCTGTGGGGTTTTTGTTGTTGTAACCTAGAAAACACACATTACAACGACAACGATTCACTTATTAAACCAAATATATTAACAAGAAAGCGGTTTCTGGATGAGGAACCACTTACCCGCACGTTTTAGGTCATTGTTGTGTTGCAGGGTCCGATTCTTTCTTTCTGCCAAAGTTAACATTTTCACAGGTAGTCTAGGGTTTTCTTCAAGCGCCAGCTGATACGCTGAAGACTTCATGGTGGAGCAAATCACCTCCAAACCATGATGCTTCCGCTGCTGTGCTTCACAGCTGCTCTGGAGGTGAGCTGTTCTCTCTTCTGATCGCCAAATAATTCAAGTTTAGACTCATTAATCCAGAGGTCATGACCTGTGTCTCCATTCTCTGGGACAGAGCTGTGGAGTGTTGGTGTTTTTCATCTATTTTAAAAATATTCAACTTTTGAATCTTAGAGACAGGCAGGTTCTCCTCGAGCTGGTTAATCGAACAATGGATGCATTACCGCCATCTGGTGGCGGAAGGTGGCATGGTTAAAAATGCCTGTCTGACCAGACTCGTTCAACAATTAAGACATTTTGTTTTTTTGGCAAATGTGTTTCATAATCACAGTGTTGGGCTTAACCTGCTTCACTCAAGAGGAAGAACTGATATCTGAGGCCTTCAAAATAAAAGCCCTCAGATTTCTAGTTCAAGCTTTGGCAAAATGTAAAGGCTGCTCTAGAAACGAGTTCTAGTTTCTAGAACTAGTGGAAACATTTTCTGTGACAGGAATTTAAAAGGGTTGTTTACACTACTGCCAGTTCGTTCATGTTGAAAGAGAAGCCGAGGTTTGTGGATATGGTTTGTGGCTACACTGCGTCAAAAGTGCCTTTTCCCTTTGGTTGATCCCCCTGTGAGGTTTTGTTAAAACAATGTTAAATATAATCTTTCTTAATCTACACGGTTAAGCATAGCTTTGTCTTAGTTCCTCTTAAATCCATTGACGTTTGGGACAAAAATGAGAAAAGGCTCCAAGGCTCTGCTGGTGGCGACATCCATGAGAAAGTCAGATGCAGGTTTTCTCAGGAGAAGCAGTACGTGTCAGTGGCCGTCGTGTTATGAGTGATTAGTGTGTTTTATCCTGGACCCACAGATAAACTGCCAGCCTCTGGAGGAGGTCAACACTGCAGGGATGGGCCACAAAGTCCCAACACTGAAACAAGGCCCGATGCGTCACACTCGACGTAGACAAACAGCCTCATCCGTCAGGAAGCCATTCTTAATCCTTCGCTGTCCAAGTGTTGCTGGAATAACAGAAAAGCCAGACGTGTTCCCAGGTTTACATCACAAGATTATGAACGCAAAACAAACAAGGACGCGCCAGAGCTGATGGGATCCGGACGCGTTGAGCCAGATGGGAACCTGAAAAGGACGGTTCGGTTTCTTTTCATGGCGTACGAAGAGACGGGTCTGCTGACGGTTTCAGCTGTTTTGTTCTCCTGTGTGAAGCTCAGCCAAGTGAAGCACCGAGCCGGAGGAGAGGGGTCATGGGTCACGGTCGTCCTCTCCACTGAAACTTAACGTGCCGTTCTGTTGCCGATTGTAAAACGGCTGAGTGAAGTGTTTTCTTCACAGCGGCCATCGGGTCGGGGCAGTGAGGCTGCTCCATTGTTTACAACCGTTTTATTTCGCAGGGTTGTTGCTTTTATGTTTCTTGTGAACTCAGTTCATGGCAAAACTAAAACACGAGAAAAGTTTTATTTTTTTACTTTTGGGGTGTTTATCCCCCATCCCCCACAAAAACTGTTTGAATAATTTTATCTGGCCCTTAATTCAGCTGAAGATTTTGATTTTAATTTAAAGCTGAAGAAAAACTGCAAAAGTTAATATGTGCATTATATTAAACCACTTTGTAAATCAAAGTTTTTCTAATTTATTATGATCTGCGGAAAAGATCAATTTGTCCAAATCAAACATAAAATCTCATAACCGATCTTCCTAACATGCGTTTTGTTTTGTAAGTTATAAAAACTTGTGTGAGAAACTTTAGATGGGCATTTTCACCATGTCATCATCCAGTCATCATGGTAACCATCTGGCCAATAGACAGCAGCGGTCGCCTAAGCTGCATGTCCAGTTGGATCCGACGACATTTCCATAAAACTGGTGTAAAACAAAAACACACAAAAAGCACAATAGACTCTTGGTTTGTTCGGTTGTTTAGGGAAGGAATATTAAACATTTTTCATTCAAATCATTTATTTTTTTCAGTGAAGAAAATCTCCACCAGTGTCGTCATGTTCAGGATTTCTACTCCCTTGTGAAAAATATCAACTCTCAGGCAGACTTTAGTTTATTGTGGGGAAAACGGCAAACTAAACCTGTTCTCATGGGAACAAGGCATCGCTCCCCACCTAACCCTAATAACTGGTTGTATCACCTCAGGCAGAAACAACAACCAGTAAATGTTTGGAATAAATAGGAATGAGTCTTTTCATTTGATCCACCCTGCTTTCCAGAGTTGTTTAATTTAGTCACATTGGACGGTTTCATAAGCCCGTATGGCCCATTTAAAGTCTCACTGCAGCATCTCAATCACACCGAGGTCCAGACTGGTACTAATCCACCCAAAGAGACGTGGATTATATGGTGCTGGTTGTGACCTAATCCTACTTGACGTCAGAAACCGACGGTTGGATGTTTTACTTCATGATGTTTTGCTGGAGAGCTTTATGGTTTTATCAAGCATTGCAGCTCATCCAGGTTCAGAAGCAGCAAAGCGTTTATTTGTGTTGATGATGTGCAGATCTGGTTTAAAGCATAGACGTCAGGATGGTCTAATCAAAGTCTGAGTTTGAGCCATTACGCCAAGAACTACACGAATGTGTAGTCTTCTAGATGTGCAAAGCTGGTACAGATACAGGCAGCTGCTGCAGATAAATGATCGACTGAAGGCGGCTGAATGTTGGAAAACGTGCAGGACTTTTCAGACATAGTTTTGTGAGAAAGATTAAAAATTATTTTGCGTTATTTTGCTATTCAGTGTTAGCTTATCCCACAAATCCTCTATGAAATGCATCAAAGCTTGTTGCAGTAATGCGACAAAATGTGCACAAATAAAGTCTGAATTTAGGAAAAACGAGTTTAAAAAAACGTATTGCGCATTTTATAAACCTAATTCATTCAATGTGTTGCTTCCACCGTTAGACAACATAAAAACCCAGACAAATGCTTAGGAATGGAAAATGACTTTATTCTTCCAAAAAGAAACAAAAAATAGAGAGGAACCAAATCCCTAGAATAAACAAATATGCTTGCTGTAAAATAAAAGCCCATCCTTTTTTCTGTTTTAAAATCAACTGTAACATTTGTTTGCCTTTCCATGCTCGATACACTCCATATATTTCTGCTTTTAAATAAATAGAAAACAATGTACAAAGAGACGGGCGGGGCAGGAGAGAGGGAGAAAAGGGAGGAGGACAGAGAGACAGATTAACATTTGGCATCGCTGAGAAGTCATGGCTGATCCTGATGTACGGCGACGGTTCGCAGCCCTCCAGCCCGCTCCCACCGCAGTGGGAGTCAGACCTGCATGCTTGCTTAGGACGCTAATATCTTCATGTACAGGTAACATAAAAATGGGTAAATGAAAAATAAAGGCAGGTTATGAGGGTATGCTTTAAGCTGCGTTGGCGCGTGTGAGTTTCTTTATATACAGAATAGTGAGGCAGCAATCCCGAGGGTTGGGGTTTAACCAAAAAACAAAACACCAATATAAAAAAAACAAAAAACAAAAATGAATTATCTGAGCGTGCACGAAGAAGAAATCTTTGAACACACCGACTCATTGACAAGACGAGGACGTCTATCAAAGTCCCCCTCTCTCGCATTTTGTTCAGCTTGGCGGGTTCTGGTTCGTCGCCCGTGTCAATGGCAGAGGGCGTTTGCCACAGGAGGAAACGAAGCGAGCTCTTTGGGAGAACAACCAGAGAAGTTTGGCAACGCTTTTCGCTGTACTGGCTCATTCATCAACAGTCCAAATAAAAAAAAAAATAAAATAAAAAACAAAAACATGTCTGAGTTTCAGCCCGAACGGTTCCCTGGACGGACGAGGGATTGGTCGAGTCCGATCAATCGGTCCCTTCGTCTAGTTTGGGCAAGAGGAGGGAGGTCACCACCGCTACCGATGCGTTTGAGGACGAAAACACAGAGAAAGACGACACCATACTCTCACTGAGTGGACCCTGCTCTCTGAACGTCCGCTCCAATCGCAGTAATCAGACGTTCGGATTCGACACCGAAGTTTATCCTCCTCTGCATTGGCTTCATGCTACAACGACGCAAAGATACAGCAGCTGCTGTCAGAGTCCAGAAAGGTAAGAGCCTGTCCAGAGAGTCAAACCTGCACAAAAAAAGCTGTGATAACTACTGGCTGACGAAGACTGGCCTAAGATCACAATCCCCTGCCTGCAACATAAAAAAAAGCTAAATCTGTCAATCATTTGCAGGGAAGCAGCTGGAGTCGAGGTAAAGCAAGCTGCGTCATTGAGGTCTGGATAGAAAGTCTCGCAGGAGGCCAGTCTTTCTGCTTTCTAACAAGGAGATTTTAGGGAAGAAAACCTCGTGACCTTCACCGTCAGCCCAGAGTTGGAGTCTCTCTCATCATAAACCAAACTCTCAGTCACTTGAAGTTGCCACCGTCCAAATCTACCATGCTGAATGACGTCTTTGAGGAAGTCCCCAACAGACGCGAGTAGACGGCTAAAAGCATCCAGAAGTTTCCCCCCCAGGTCAGGTGAGTGGAACCATGAGGAGGATAATGACTAAGGTTGTCCCAATGCGATCCAAAACATCGAATCAAGGCATTTTTAAAAGAAACATATTCATGTGTTTGAACAAACGACTATCAAAACGATCCTCGATTACCGTCTGATTTCATGTCAACTAATACCTTCCTCTGTATCCGTTTGAGGTGACCAACTCTTTACGCTTCTATAAGAGAAAGCTGTGCAGAAAGCAGCTGAAATGTTCAAATGTTCAAAACAAAAGCGCCGAGTTCACGAAGCAGGAGATCAACCCCTGTGAAACACGTCACTCACCGAATTATCAACGAGCCATATCACAACAGCAAGGAAAGGCGCTACAGTTAGCTTCAGGAAACTTCTACTGCATGAAAATCGGCATCGGGCCAAAGCAGGAAGTGATTTTCTACAAACTGAAACGTTATTGTTCTGTATTTTAAAGCTGATGAAAATTTAAAGTATATTAATTGTTGCAACAAGTCCTGATCGAAACGTCTCCAGTTGAAATTTCACATGGGCTAAGTTGGCTAAGTTCAGATAGGCTACTTTAATTTAGTCACTTATTTCATGATCTGGCCTTAAAACTTCAACATGAGACAATAACGGTGATTTCAACATGTTTAAAAAGCCTTTTGATCCCATTAAATGTTCATAAGGCCACGATGTAGATCTGCGTCTCCCAGAGACATTAGGATTCACGGTTCTCTATACCTTCTTTCTGACACAAAAAAAAAGGGAGGAAAACTGAGAACACTGGCCTTTAGCCGAAGCTAACTTTCACAAGGATAAGAGCTAGTCTTCAAAATGATCAGTCATCACATTGATTTGTCACAAAAACCTGAAGATCTGTGAGTGAGCTTTGCTGTTCGGGTCCAATCGGGGACGAACGAGACAAACACGGAGAAACAGAAGGATGCTGGAATACTGGATTAATGCAAGTAGCAAGAAAAGGAGGAGTTTGAGAGAAGCAAACCACAAAGCCTGAGAGAAACGTTTTTTTTTTTGTTTGTTTGTTTGTTTTTAATCTACAGCTAAAGGACGAAAAAACACCAACAGCTATCATTTGGTAGACACCAGCAGAGAGGACAGGACGCAGAGGGAAACCCTGCGGCGGGATAAGAAGAAGCGAGGCTAAGCTAACACAAGACTGACTGACGAGAAGCTTTTAAAGAGTAGCGTCGAACCCAATCTACTCAGAAACTGTAAGCACTTTACATATCTACACAGACCAAATACAGACTAAACAGGCCAGAAAGAGCCGCATTAGATCAGCGATGTCGGCAAAACTGAGGCGACGTTCTGGGGGATTCACAGCCGAGCGGACGATGGGTTTGAGGCCGGACCGTCACCGATGGACTGCCGAACCCTGATGAGAATACACAAAGCTTCAAGTTCAACTTTGGGAGGATAAAGAAAAAAAATAAAAATTAAAAAAGAAACAGTCGCCAAAATGGCCGATAGACGAGAGCTCTTAAACCCTACAAAACTACGCCGAAACAAATCTCTATCTTTAAAGAAAACTCCACAGCTCTACTGCTGGGAGACAGCCACTTCAGTGCAACTTTTTCACATGTGCATTTTTGCAATATTTTGATTTTAGAGAGAGAAAAAAAAAAGGAAATTGTATCAAACATGTGGGCTTAAAGTACGACTTCAAATTTGACCCTCAGAAGTAACCCTCAATGGAAAAAAAAAAAAAAGAGGAAGAAGTCGTACACAAAAACGTGTAAGCGTGCGCGTGAGAACAGCCCACGGTGCAATACGCACAAACAGCCACGACTCATGAGGACGGATGTTCTGCCTGAAGAGGGGCCGCCGCGTTCTTCCCGCCTCTCGCTCTGATTCAGTGCAATCGAAAGTGAAGTCGACTTGATTCAGTAACAAACTGGCTCGGCGCCGCCGCCGTCACCATCATCAATCACGATGCGGACCTGCTGAAAAATAGGGAGCCGCATCTATTGGCTTTTAGAAGTCCGGGCCGATCCACACGAGTCGCCTGCCGACCGTCAGGCAGAAACACAAGCAGGACCAGAAAAAAACAAAACAAAACACACACACATTATCGTCGTGGCAACAGTTCAATCAGCAATTTCAGCAACAATTTAGTCAGCCAAAAATACTTTGAATATTCAACACGGATGAACAAAATCAACAAAACACTTCTTTTAAAGGAACATTCAGGCTTTTTAAAGAGAGGCTCTGTTAAAAGGTTTTCAGGAAAAGACTCATTTGCTCATCTGAACGCTACTTTATGAGCGTTTACTTTGGGCACTTATTTACAAATGAGCTGATGTTTAAGCAGAGATGGGAGGTGGTGCGTCTTTAAAAGTCTTCCTTTGTGAAACATATTCTGAGGTTGGAGCATTTAGAACATGAAAGTGTGACAACCAATAAAGTAACACTCATTTAAACTGCTGTTAAACTTTTGATCTTAAGGTACTTTAAATCGGTAGAAGGAAGATTATTGATGGCGCACGACCTCCAACCTGTTTTTATGTTGCTGCTTTCTTCAGCTGCTGCTGTATTTCTTGTGTTGGTTTTGTGACTTTTAGGTGCCTGGTCTCATGAACTTCCATATAGAATATATTTGTCTATCAATCAGTCAATCAATCAATCATGTAAATAATGTTTCTCTGTAAATAAGCACCCAATGTAAAGCTTCGTCTGCAGAAAGTTTTTGAGGCTGGACGTGGCATGTTAGCATTAGCTTTCGAATCCAGAGAATAGAAACGCATCGCTCTCCACTGCAGATAACCTCTCAACAGGCACTTTGCTTTAAAAGATTTCAAACTATCCCTTTACTGCTCGACTAGAAGGCTGTGGGTATCCCTTTAAGAACAGCCGTAACCTCAGTGTGCTGGATTAGCTTCTCATCAATCACCGAGAAAGACGCACACAAAGCCCCGAGACTTAAAGAGACACACACAATCTGAGTATCTACTGACTGCAATAATGTTCACTATCTTTGCACAGATGGGTAAACAGTCCATGTGAGAAGAAAAGAAAAACTTACACACTCAAATAATAACATATATATATTTTTTTGCTTATGTACACAGCTTCATTGATTACTTTTAAGGTCAAATTTGATCAGTTTCATGTGACATTTGTACGTGAAGAACCCAACCCTTGAGCAGATTAGAAGCACACAGACTGGCAGGTTTCCAGCAGTTTTCACGACGCAGCTGTAAGTCAACGATCTCCACAACATCTGGACACGTTTTGCTGCGTTTCCCTGGTGGGACGAGCCCTTGAGACAAATTTGTGTTTTTTGGGGTTTTTTTACGTTTTGTCCCGACGCTTCGTCGACCTCCCGTCTTGATGTGCGAGCGGCAGAGCTTAAGAAGCCATGAGGAGAAAACGCTCGGTTACCGTTTGATGCTCCCACAAACTGCTGCACAAGCCCTGATAACGTTAAAGGCAAAGAAAACAAAAGAGGGATAAAAAAAAAAATACACGGATTGGAAAATTACAGGAAACATACTTGAGAAAATGTGCCTCTATGTTTCTCTCCGAAAAACAAACAGAGACTGAAGGTGGAGGAGAGAGGAGAGAGGCTGCATTACCTGGAACAACTGCTGTGAACACACACACACACACACACACGCCTACACACACACACGCACACATCCTCTTATAAGTGCCCTCAAGTTGCTGTTGCAGGCAGACAGGAACTCAGAGAGGACAAAATAGCACCAGTTTGAAATAAAGCTAATTCTGGATCCAGACACCGAACCGAACAGGCTGGGTGAAAACCAGACGTCCGCCCATCCCATCACTCCGTCCGCTTGATTTAAAACACAAATGATAAACACAGAGAAGCTCCACACACATACACACGCACACACACACGCACACACACACACACACACACACACACACACACACAAGAGCAGTTGTTCCAGCCGGGACAGAGTCCCGCCCCCTCCGCCCCCTTCTGTTTCGATGTCTGTCGGTCAAGCTTGTCTGCGTCTCTTCGTTCGCCTGATCAAATCGTTCCTCCCTCCGATCGATCGTCCTCTCGTGAGTTTTTTTGTTTTTTTTCTGCTGCTTTGTCGCTTTTGGCACTGGACTTCCCCATGAATGGATTACATAAACTGCATCTGGATGGGAAGAGAGAGGACAGAAAAATGACATCAAAATGAAATCCACAGTGTTATAACAGTCCTATAAGCAAAGAGAGAAAAACAGATAAAACTACTGGCACAAGGGGAAAATAAAAGAAAACAATAATTCAACAGATTGAAGCTTTGTTTTCCTAATTTGTCTAGAAATCAGTTGAAAAGAAGCCAATCACTGTGCAGGAGTTCGTGGTGGCTACCTGGGCTCCTGGCATGGGCGCGAAAGGGTTGGTGGGTCTGAGAACAGGCTGGTTGTACATCATCGGCTGTGGAGCCATCACAGGTACCCCACCCATCTGAGCCATCTGGGGAGGGACCTGGAGAGCCATGAAACACACACACACACACACACATATACACACAGACTGGTCTGAGATCACAGGAAAATGGCTGGAACTACATTCAGGATAACCATGAAAAAAACAACAACAAAGGTTCACCTTCCAGAAATACAACTCAAACGAAAAGCAAGAGTTACACTGCAAGGCACAGGTCAAGGAAAATTGATGTGTTCTTATGGCCTAGTCAAAGGCCCAATGTGTAACTCAAACTGGCAGCTCTACAAATCATCTTCTCAGAAAAGCTGAATGCAAATTTTCATCACACTTACCACAAAGTGCATCACACACAATTTTGATAAGTCTAATGTGCAAACTGGACATCCTGAAAAAGTCTGAGTATATCAAAAATTAAGGCCTTAAAATGTCTTAAAATCATTTAGAAAAATGTAAGACATCCTTGAACGGGCTAGTCATAAGTCTTAAAATTCGTTGTGGCAGGACTATTTAATCTTTCATGTAATTTTATTTGTCTTGTGGGATTTTTCTATTAGGCAAAAGTTTGCACAAACATCTGTCTTCATTGCATTCTGTGACTTCAGGCTACCAGGAACTAGCTGCCAATATATCCTTGCTAGCTAGCCTTTTCATTTTATTTTTTTTACATCTTCCAAGAATTAGATGCTAATTCATCACCAGTTGGTTGGATGACATTAGTTTTTGCCACTGGCTCACTTCATGTTGCCAACTGATCACCCTATATATACATCTGTAGTTTTTATTTTTTTAGCTTGGCATTAAATTTAATTCAAAATAGCATCAAAAAAGGTCTTAAATACCCTTAAATTTGACTTGCTGAGACCTGCAGATATCCTGGTAAAGCAAGAGAACCAAATATGAGGGGAGAATCACTTTTTCTGTGCAACACTCACCATTCCATACACAGGCACTTGTGGTGTGGTCATGGGGAAAGCCATTGGCGCTGGAGCCTGGAACAACAACAAAAACAAACCAACAGTTGATTTCAGAAGAAAATAACTAACCTGCTTCAGTTTCAGCCTCATCTCAATTGTTTGGAGAGAAAAAAAACCCCAAAAACATACATCTGCATCAAACACCTGACTGACTTGGCTTGAGCGCCTCTAGAACCCTTAAGTGCCCAGCTTGTGAAAGGACAAATCATTTAAAGCTCGAGTATGTGTACGTTCAGCGGCACAGCGAGAAGCTAAAGTACTTAGCGGATGCCCACTGTGAGCAATCATTCCCACCACTTCAAAAGGAGAGGCACGATGAGGCCGCGCTCTGCTTTCTGCCATGTTCAGGGCAAATGCAATCCGCCGCACCTGAGCGGGCTTCCTGTTGTTCACTGCCATGGCGATGTGCAGCTGTTGCTTTGGAAGCGACGCCTTTCTGCATCAAAACTGCTGATTTGTGATGGAGAAATTGGTACGTTTCTTTTTCTTTTTTTTTTTAGAAAAAATATGGTCTCGGAATGAAAACAGTGCAATATTTCCATTATACAAAGTAATTAGCTGCTCCGGAAAGTCATGTTTTGCTTTATTTCTCGACATAAAATGATGGATTACAGTAATTAAAGCGTTGCCACGATAGAGTTTAGGGTTTTATGGGGAAAAATAAAACTGCACTAGCATTATCCTTTAATTGCAGTTTTTTGCATCAGCTCCTTAATCAATGTTTTAAACTAAGTGGAAGTTACTTAAGACGGCGGATCTGTCCATAAAAAGCGGCTAAATAATTTGCAGTGCGTTGCTGATCTGCTGCAACGCTGTGTTCACATCGCTTATCCAATCACAATCCTGCTTTGTGTTACTGCGGTAACATCAGGGGCAACAGGAAATATGTGCAATATCCTTCTCTCTTTAGTGGTGGTGAAATATGAGAAATATGTGTCTTTGTTCAGCTTATCGGGAATACATATGCTCAAATTAGAGGTATTGTTTTTAAATGCATGCTTATACAATAAAAGACTTAAAATTTTTACCTAACATTAGACCACATCTGCATAACTGTGAGCTCATCAGCTTCAGCTCTTTTCAAGGAACGATCCTGCAAAGCACAGACTTTACACTCAAGGCTGCGGCGCCTTAATGGCAGGTGCAGAACAAAAACAGATGAAAAGCATTACTGTCGTTCTGCAAGGTTTTCGACAGGTTCTCAATAGACTTATCTACTATCAGAGCTTTCGATTGACTTTTAGAGGAAGGATAGGCAGAAGCAGCGATTCTCTTCCCAGAGATCTAAAGGAATAAAAAGGTTTTAGACCAGGCGAGGTGAAGCTGTGAACCCATCTTAGGAGGCAATCAATCCAATTGATTGGTATATGCTTGTAGTTGTGACCCTGGAGAGCCAGTTGTTGCTCAAACTCCCCCCCCCGATCAATTTGTCTCAGATCTACAAAATAACAAAAAAAGACCCAATTCCGACTCTTGTTTCATCAAATATACTTTCATCGGCCGCTCAGTAACTCACCGCCAGTTCAGAAGTTGGAGTATTTAAAGCGCTATTAACAGATTAAGTCGACTTTCCCGCCACCTGCGGTTTAATCTCTCATTAATTCACCAAGTGTTCGCCTCTCAGTTGTGCCGCCTCATCTCGTTTATCTGATTTTTTTGTTTTGTTTTCCCCAAATCAAAACGTGACAGAAACATCTGAGTGGGGGGGAAACAAAACGAGAAGCTGTTTCTGCAAAGCTTCAGACTCTCCCTCACTCTTGACGTCCATCTGTCTTGGCGCACAGCTGACGGCCTTCGCCGCCTCGCCCTCCGAATTCTCGTTCGGTGACTCATTTTTATTTTTCACCTGCCCGTTTCTGCCTCCTTTGTGCCGCGTTTCGAGGTGCATGCTGCGCAGCTCCCCCTCCCCACCCCTTCTTCCTTTTGATTCTCCGCAGCCAGACTTCCAGCCCACTTAGCCTCCTGCAAGGCTAAGTGGGACAGTTAAATGAGTGAGACGCTTTCCAGGCTCCCGAACTTAAAATGCGAGACGCGTCTCCAGCTGAGACTGTTGCAACTTTCTGGCCAGAGTCTCTGCTGCAAGCATTTCATCAGCCACTTTAATTGCTGCTCTGCTACCTGTGATGTTTTCCTCAACCCTTCTACAAGCTGCGACGAGTGTTTATGGAAGTCGTTTTGGTGTTTTGAGCCGCCCGTGTCACCAGCAGCAGTTAAAATATTGGTTAAAGGCCGATTTGTTCCTTCTCCAGCATTTAATTTGGCCTTTTCTCGTTAACAGTACTGGAGAATGGAGATGCAATGAATTATGCCTTATCTCTTAAAAGTTTTTCCTTCAAAATAGAAACCAAAAATGGTGCGACAGGTTTTGTTTTGATTTTTCTCAATAATATCTAATAAATCTAAACCAAACGCTTCAGAAATGACCTCATCTGGTCTCTCTCTACATACCTTGTACGCAAGGCTGAAACGATTCATTGTGATTAATCGGTTATTGAAATAGTCGCCAGTTAATTTAGCAATCGACTAGTTGTCAACTGGCGAATACAGACTCAAAAAAAAAGGTCATTTAATGAAAAAGCAACATGTTTAGAGCAATAATTAAGTCAAAACTGTACAAAATATACTCATGTTTTGTATTTAAAATAATAATTTTAATAATACTAATTAAAAAAAAACACCTTGTGTCATACCCAAAGTGATCCCTGGTCCAAATTCACTAAATGCTGTTTTTTTTGCATTTTAGGTGATAAAATGGTTATTGTCATGTTTGAGGTAGGAATTGATTTGTTTATTTACATATTATAATGTATTTCTAATATTGCAAAAAAAAAAGAAATCATTTGGGTCATTAATGAAAAATCAGCATAATGTGCCAAATTGTTTTATCTAGTCGTTACAATAATCAGTTACTAAAATAATTGTTAGTTGCAGACCCATTATGAAATCCATGAAATCAAAAAAGCAACAGATTTTTTTTTTTTTTTTGCATTTTACATTTGTAGACATTTTAACAATCTTTTATGCTGATTTTTCTAGTCTTTTTCACATTTACTTGGGTATATTTTGTTACTCCGGTGCTGAAACAAGTGAATTTCCTCACGGTGCGATCAATAAAAATGAATAATATGTTGCAATTTGTAGAAAAAGCCCGCCTGCACCCGATTTAATCTGTTCTGTGAAGAAGTCAGAGGATTGCTGCAGAACAAAGACGCGCGTCACTCATCATTTATCGTGATAAATTTCTTATCGTGTGAACGATTTTGATTTGTTGTCACGATAAATGCCGAGGAAATTTGTTTGAACCCCCTGAAACTGTCCGCACTGTTGGGATTGTTAGTTTTACTGTTTTCCTCCACTGTTTGCTCATTGAGAGTATCGGGAAATAAAAATTAGTTTGAAAATACGATTAAGTGCAGTAACTGTGAGCAGCTTAGTGACACAAACAGGAATCTTTTTCAGGAGCAGCATTCGTGTTTGTGGGACTATGATTGCCGAGACACAGAGTCACAGCCACAATCATCTAACAAAGATGTAATAAATAGTTGTTACTTTTATCGCCATCACAACAATACCACAAAATACTGGGGTAACATTTTAAGTCCATATTTCCTGTCCCTATTATGAACTGTTCTGTTCTTCTTCAGGGTTTCTGAATTAAAAGGTTTTTAATAAATAAATAAATGATAAAAAAAAAAATTTGCAGCCAAAGTACAAAAGAAAGTCATAAGAAAGCCTGATTAGAGATGTTCAAACAGCAGAGCTGAAAAGCTTAGAAAATTAGAGCACACACTGTCGGCTTGCACAGCTCAGACACGAGGAAGTTATTTGTAGAAACTGAGCAGAAAGCAAGAGTCAAAATTCTCCAACAAGTGTCTCTGGGGAAAACGAGAGCAACAGGAGGTAAAGGAGGGGAAAGATGAGGAGGATAAGCAGACATTTCTGAGAGGCTCGTTGGGACTTGTCTTACTAAACAGAGATAAGTACTTACATAACTAGTATAGAACATTCCATTCTGCATCAGGACGCAACAGGGAAAAGGGACAAGGGACAGAGAGGAGTCAGAGAAAGAGAGAGGGACGACAAGGAGGAGGGGAGGCGGGAACAGGAGAACGAGCGAAGTCAAACAGGAAGGAGAAGACGTTCATGTAAAACAAAGGACAATGAGGAATTGGACAAGTAAGCAAAATTTGTCAAAAAGGTGGTGAGGACAGCAAATTGAAAATGGGGAAAAAAAAAAAAAAAAAAAGGCACAGAGTTCGCAAAGGAAGCAAAGAAAACCCGGGGTCACCATGACGATGGACGGACGACAAAGACAGCATGGCGAAAACAGGACGAGAGGACGCCAAACGGGAGCCACCGCGGAGCAGGACAGCAGGCAAACACGGGAAGGAAGACGAACGGATGACGATGCAAAAATGCCAGGAAGGAGATATTGGACGGGATGACAGGGAGGTGAGGGAGGACAGGGAGTCAGGAAGGAGAAGAGGAGACGATCAACAGGAGAGCAGAGCGAAAGAGAGAAGAAGAACAAGACAGGGGTTAGTGACAGTTTTGTCTTTGTCAGCCAGAAACTGCAGAGCAGAGATCAGGAGGACAATCAGGAGCTGCTAAGATCAGCACACAATCATGCACAACACCGCACTGAGATAATGTGCAAACACACACACACACACACACACACACGCACTGACATGCACCGCGAGGACAAACCAGCATTCACTGCAACAGTTTCTGACCCACTGAGCATCCCGGTAAGATGTCTGCAAGTTCCTGAAAGCACCGTGTGTTTAGCCGGTTCCTTTGAGTTCGAATTAAGCAAATTCTGGAAGAGAAAAATCTGCAGCGCTTTGGAAGATTAGAGCTAAATTAGACCGTCAGAGTCACAAGCCGTTTTTCCCCCTTCTGTCAAACCACAGAGAGCAAAGCTAAACAGCAGCTGGCTGCAGGCCCAGAAACACCATTTCTCTCATCATCATGTAAAACAGAAAAAACATATTGTTCAGAGGCGAGACAACCTCCAATAAAGACAAGAGTACAAAGTGGAAATTTGTGAACTTTAGCGCTGCCGCTGTTCCTCATGTTGCATCAACTCAAATTTAAGACTTTTTAAGTTCATTATGACTGAAATTTAAGACAGGTGCTCGCTCTCTGTGTTTAAAAGCCACTAAACCTGTGTTTCATAATGGTGTTTCACGCCAAATGCTACTTCTAGATCAGCGCCAGTGGCAGCGCCGACTGTTTCTGGGGAGCGTTGGCCCCACTGCATCAAAACTAAGACATTTCTGGGATTTGTTTGTGACTCTTGGCAGCAGCTTTGTGCTCGTTTCACTGCATATGGCTCTCTGCATCCTTAACACCCAAAGTGCCAAACTTTTCTTGCACAGAACACACATACAGTTTCGATCGGGCCAGAAGAATTTGACTCAACCAGGTCTGAGCCCGATCCAACCCGACTGATTAATTTTTATTAAAGGCCTAAGCCTGAAGCAAATCCGGCACTTTATTTTATTTATGATTTTACTGCTTTTGTTTTGTAACTATAAAATGCAACTTTTGCCATTTCTATCCGTTTAATGTCTTCCAGCTCCATCTTGTCGCTCGTTGTAACGTCAGGCACAAATCGTCTGGGATGTGTGATCGATAGGAGCGGAACCGTAGCGTGTGCAGTGCCCAGATTAATGTCTGCGCCCTACTCACTTTATTACCTCAACAGATTCCTCTAGTTTAAGTAGTTTAATAAGTAGTACAATGAGTAATAACTTCATATTTTGCATTCACGTTGGGTTTTCTCTGGCCTGTATTCAAATTCAAACATCTAGTTGTCCCCGAAGTGCAATTTCAAGGCACATCAGTAGTAGAAATAGACAAAAAAAAAGTGATGGCTCAGACAACAAAGTTCATAAAATTCATAATGGTAATAAACATAAGTATGTAATAACAAGCGCAGTGTGATCCAGGCCATAAATCTAAACTCTAAATGCATGTAGCAGTGAGCCAGTGGCAGAGATTAACATCGTTCAGCCATCTGACAATAAATTTGCACTTATCCATTACAGATGCAAAAAAGCGAGCAAGTTAGCCAGACTATATTAGCAGCTAGTTAGTGGCATGTCTGGCTGCAACTCAAACTTATACCTAACAGAAAAGTCCTGGAAGAAAGGAAACCCAACTGCATGGAATATAAGAGATTAAATAATCCTGCCACAACAACATTTAAAACTTGTGATTAATGGATTTAAGGATAACTTCCATTTTATTAGCGAATTTAAGATGCTTTAAGGCCTTAATTATAAATACATTAAAACTTTTAAAAGTTGCGCAAACAGAATAATCGTGAGCAGAATTACTACAGCCTTCAGGAACTTGCAAACACGTCGACATCTCTCTTAGACAAACTGTCCACAGAGCTAAGGTTCCTCACCACATGTGGCACAGGCATGGGCTGTGGAGCCATGGGCGCGGGGCTCCACTGTGTGGTCGACATGGTCTTATTTTGCCAGTTTTGGCCACCGGTTAGCTTCTTCTCACCAGGCTGGTTCCACTGCATGTCTGGCCTGTTGGAAGAACAAGCAGAACAACCCGATAAGTCTGCTGGGAGTGTTTCTTCGGGCATACGATAAATATTTTGAGCACTTCCCTTGCCAGAGTACAAACATGCGAGAAAGCAAATGTAGTACGGAACTGCGTTAATCTGTCAAAAACAAGTCTAGAAACTTACTTCTTGGCTCCAGTTCCACCAAACTGCAGATCTGAACAGGGAGAAGAAAAAGAGAACATGGTGAAATTTTTTTTTTTCTGGACTTGTGCTCAACAGGAACCGCAGTACAGCCAGCGCCTGGTAATTATTCAAGGCCCGGTGTTGCATTGGTAAAGTTATGTAACTGTTCCATCTGCTGCGCAGCTATTCCGACTCGTTTTCTCTCTTGGTTAACAAGTTTGTATGTGTCAGCACTCACTGCCCACAAGGTTAGCCAGAGAGGAGTCGAGGTCATTGGCTAGCAGCTTTCCTCCAGGATGGATGGCCATTTGAGGAGGAGGAGGTGGTGCGGTGTGCGCGGTGACTGTGGGCTTTAACAGGTCTCCGAGAGCATCGAAACCTGCACAAGAAATCAATTTTGTTCATGTAGATGAGCTGGAGTTGGGGTGGGGGGGAAGAATAGAAAAAAAAAAGTGCTTTTTACATCTGAAAGGCTTCAAACAACCTTGTAAAGAGATGAATAATGTCTGGAAGCTTCACAAGATACCCAGAGACAGATGAAAGGAGAGAAAAGCAAGAGAAGATGTTTGTAATTTTTATTTTCTGTGAGGAAATGGGCTTCTCTGTTTGCTGGACAGCAGTAGTTCAGTTACAGCTGAGAAAGTGAAATAAAGCCCTGAAGGACTGTCGAACTTTGGGTTTGTGAAAAATATCAGGCAGTAAGTTGTTTATTCGAGCATCCAAAGCATAAAGGACGTCGTTCTGAACTGCAGGGCTGCTTTTAAGTGCGCCCCAGAGGCTAAGTAGCCTGATAAAGGACATCAGAAGCTGAGCAATTCAATAGCCAGAGATATTTTCGATTACAAGTAACATTTCTAAACTCTGAACGATCCTGTGCTTTATTGTATTGGAAGAGGTCACACGTTCCGCCTCATTGTGCAGAACAATGGCGCTAAATATGACTCTATGGCAAGCTGATCTAGTTTTAAAGATGTGTGCAGCAGATAATTTACTTCCCAGATATTGAAAAGAACATTCTAAACATGTCGCTATTGTCAAGAGGAAAAATCATGACCCACACAAATTTATCAAAATGAGTTATCAGGACATATTTAACAATGAATGCAGTGTGTGGTCGCTGCATGATTCGCCTAAAGAATCATGCTAAAATGTCCGCACCACACAGTTCCGCAAGGACAACGTCCCTCGAGTTACGTTCATCTTAAAAAATTGTTTTGCAATTGTTTTTTTTTTTAAACACCGAAATTCTACATTCACTGAACTACAAGCAAATTATATCAAGTTGGAGACATAACCTAAACTAAAGCACAATTATTCTGGATTTTTAACATTTGGGGCTTCTGTGCTCATCTTATAGTTCTAGGAGTCATTTCCACTACTTAAAATGTCAGTGGAGCTAAAATTCAAGACATTTATCCAAAAAGTATAACACAGAACAGCTTTGACTGAAAGAACTGACAGTATTAAGTCCTAAATCACTTTTAACTGTAAAAGAAGATTATTCCTGAGTTAATACTAACCAACATGTTCAAGCAACTATTCTGGCTAACAAGCCTATGTAAATTGAGCATGTTAGCTTGTATGTTCACACTGAAACTTATTGTACCTCTGAATATCAGAGAAAAAACTAATTGAATGGGCTGAACTCTGTGAACCTACATAGTTGCGTAAAGTCAGAACTTCCTGGACTTATTGCTATTCTAGTTACGACAATAAAAGTTGATTAATTTAGAGATATGTTCAGCTGACATTAGTATGTTCTGACTTATATTCTACCAATATCTGTAATTCAGTGTGTTACATGCTAATTCCCAATTATAGCAATGTTAGCTAAGATTTTATTTTGGCTGTGAGCTAATGAGTTAGCCAAACTGACTCACGGGATTTTGCCCATATATTAGCCACTGCATTCAAAGCAACTAAGTTAGCCAAACAAGCATCATTTGTATATTCTGCTTATTACACAGCCATTTTAGCTAATATTTACCAATACTTTGAAGCTAACCCTATGTTATTCTCGTTGTGTGCTAGCTAATACATCAGTCATTCTTACTCAGGGGATTTTGGCTAATGTTACCCAATGTGTTCAAGCTACTGAGTGAACCAATCCAATGTAGAGCAGTTTTAAGAAAAACATTACAGGGTGTACACTATTTGGGCAAAGAAAGAGAAACAGAAGAAGTTAACACTAAAGCTGTCTGCAAGAAATCTGAGGAAAATTGTATGAGTGACATTTAATTTTCCTCTGGGATTAATAAAATATTTTTTGAATTGAATTACTCAGAAAATTCTACTAAGTCGTCTCTTGCTATAAACCTTAATCTTGTGAGCAGAAATGAGAACATTTCTACATTTCTTCATTATTCCTGTCATGTAGCGGCCTCTAATTCCTGACTTGGTAGATTGCATTCATCCAGGTTACCGATTTACATGATCCTTGCTGTCATATTCACTCTGCAACTCTGAACAGTGATTAGTTTTGAATGAATATGAGTGTGCCTGGAAGAAAGAATGTGAAAGAGCATTTTTTGTCTGCTACAGTGTCCAGTGCCCATGGGTGAAAATGACAGAGTAATTCCCTGTATTGGTGTGCATGTGAGTTCAGCAGCCAGCAGTAACAACTCCCATGTCGGCACTCATTCAGCTAATGGTTGTTACCATTTGCTGGTAGAAAAACCTGGACGTGCAACTGCCAGCGTGCATTGGACACAAAAAAAGGTGTTTGCGACCGGTTAAAAAAAATATATATATATATATATATATGTGTATTCAAAAGTTTGCATCATTTGTTTAATTCCAAAAGCAAAAAGTTTTTTTTTTTTTTAAATACCAGGGGAGTTGAACAAAGCAGAAAACTACTATTTCCTGCTTATAAATGGACAACGTCTTCTCGAAAGAAAAAAAAAAAAAAAAGAGGGAGGAATAATATTTAGTTAGGAAGCGGTGTGTAGGCCTGACAGTGCTGCTGACACAAGAGATTCGAAAAACACTTTCACTGCTGGCTTAGCAAGATGAGAAAACGAGGGAGGTGGGGCAGCGTAGAGTTGGAAGAAAAATTTAAAACGGCAAGATGAAATTCAGAGACGAAGCAAAAACAATAAAAAAAATAAATTAATAAAAAAAAAAAAGAAGTGAGGAGCAACACTTGAAGGGGTGGAGGGCGAGTCAGGCACAAGAAATGAAATCACCCTTTTCCCTCCTGAATTTAGTTTCCATCCAGTTGTCGACACTGTAATAAAACACCAACAATATGGCTGTTCTCCCCGCACTTCTTGATGTTCCTTCAACAGAGCTTTTCTACTGAGATGGGAAGAAAATTGTGTTTTCAGTCGATCACACACAGAGACGAAGGTAAGCTGAACGAAAAATGGTTGGAAGGGGAAGAGAAGCGTCGTATTGAACTGGGTGAATGTTACCGGTGTTGGCTTCGACACTTTGGAGTCGGAGTGACTGTCAATATGGGTTAAAGATCGAAGGAGGCAAATCTGCTCCAATAGTTCATCTGAAAAGCACTTATTATGTTTAAATTTAATAAGGCCTAAAAATTCAACGGTATACACTGTCGCAGATGTAATTGATGGATATCGTGGGCACCTGTTGGAGTGAAAACAGAGCTGAAACAATTAAAATCCTCATTTTTACTAATTCGCCGTGAAATCTGCTCAGACGTCCCCATAATTTACGGACAGCGACTCTCCAGTCTCTTTGGTTAGGGCTGCTTTCTCAAGGCAAGAGGCAAAAATCTTTCGCAGTGGTTCAAAATGTTTTTTCTTTTTCCTGTGTCGCACCTTCTTCTCTGTGGTTAAAACAGATCTTATAGGACTTATTTAGAGTTGAAACATTTGCTGTCGTTTGGGAAGTAGCCCAAGTTACAGTGAACGTTTCGCAGTTTGATAAAAATTCCCAATTATCGTTTTATACGGAGGGGGAAATGGTTAGCCTTTATCTCAATTTAAGCCCCAAAAATGCTTTTTTTTTTTTTTTTTTTTAAATAAAGAAAATGGTTTTCTCCAGATTTCTGGAGTAGTGGATCTCTGCAGTTCCTCCACAGTTAACATGGTTTCTTCTCTGATCCATCCTGTCCTTTACTTTAAGGATCCTGTCCTTTACCAGCAGATTAGACGAATGGTAAATTTGGTAAACGGTTTCAAACCCGTGTATTTGTGTACTTTTCCTTCTACCTTACTGTTATACGTATCGTACAGTATGCTGTGTTGATCTAATTGTCATAATCCCAACAAAACGCAGTAAAGTTTGAAACTGCAAGGTAATAAAATCAGATGTACAGAGTATGAATATTTCAGAAAGGCCATATACAGGAGCTCCCTGTTCTTTATTGTTTGTTTCTGCAGAACTAAACAGCTAATTCAGTGGATCCACAAAGTAATCGCAAGGGTTTCACTTCTTTCCACATTATGTTTTGTTCCACGTTTTTATTCCAAATTGTGTTAAATTAATATCTTTCCTTAAAATTATATTGACAGATGATTCAAATCAAGTCCAATCAACTGCATTTACCACAAGCTGACTCCATTTAAGATGTTGAAGCATTTCAAGGACAATCACTGGAAACAGCCTGAAATAATCTGGGAATACTTATGTTAATGTGATTTATTTATTTTTATTCTTAATAAAAGAGCATAAAACTAATTATCCTAAATGGGGATTTGTGTGTAGAATGTTGATGAAAGAAGTGCAGCGCTGCTGACACTTTCTTGAACTATTCTTGGAAATATTCTGTTAATTCCCCATAATTGTATAAAAAAATATTTATTTACGTTTACTCAAATGTGGCCAAACGTAAACCTTATTTTAGATATTGCAGCAAAGCATCCAATTTAGACCTAATCATGCTTTTTTTTCCTTTTTTTTTGTAGAAGTAGCAACAGGGGTTTATTTAATACAAAAGAGAAGTGGTGCATTTCTTATTTTCCTTTTCATCTGTGTGAGAAAATTCAATTCTGTGTGACAAACTTTATTAGCTCTCCTCCGTCTAGATCGCCACGATTACTTCACACAAAAGCCAGTCGAGTGCAAAAGTACTTCTTGAAACAAGCTCCAAGATTAGTTCTCTGGCGACTTCCTTCAGCTGTGGAGGGTTTTAGTTCCACATTAAAAAAAAGATAAAACCTACAAATCAGACACTGCTGATAAATACAGAAGAAACAATTATTAGGATGAGATGGGAAACAACAAAGAAAGGCAGAACATTTTTTCATTCAAATGAATGAAATCTACACATTTGAATAGAAAAGCTGGCGCCTCATTTATTAACCTATCAGAAAGAATGAAAACAAAAAATTGCAGCAGCTAACTAGGAAATATTAAAGAAAAGCTGCTGCAGCAAAACAAGAGGAGGGGGAGAGAGAAAAAAAAGGATTTCTTTATTTTAAAAGCGAGGAGTCGGAGGGGAAGCAGATGGACTCGAGTTGCCTGGGTGATTCTTGCCTTGTGATGTGTGATGAGGAGACGGCGAAGCGAAGACGAAACGAAAGGAGGCAGAGACACGAGGAAGAGGAGGAGGAAGGTGGCAACGGTGTGAATGACAACAAAACACAACAGACGAGAAGAAGCAGGCAGACGGAGGAGAGGGAAATGATAGAGGACGTGTGAATGGACACATTTACAAACATACAGGCACATCTGTGTGTGTGTGTGTGTGT